ATAACATAAAAACTGTTTGATAAATGAAGCTAAAAGTTTAACAGCAATCATTACATATATCAAAACTTTTCACCATAAAGTTTTAAGGCAAATCTGAGCTGATCAAGCAGAGAAGAATGCTCCATTAGCATATATCACAGGTAATGTGATACAGATGTGTGGGAACCTCTCGTCCCCATATTTCAGCCGGTTAAGGGACGGAACTACACCTGGTTGTCGCATGCCAACCACTTTAATTAAAGAGAAAGAAGAAGAAGAAAACGATGTCAGATTTATGAATGGAGTCTACAACGTCAATGTATACCCGAACTCCAGGTGACCCCCTGGGAGCTGGTATGTCCCTTTTCCCACCGCACTCTTCCGTTTCCCCAAGAGTACACAGCCTGGGTGAGCAGAGTCCGTTACCAGCACCCCGACCCCGACTCCAGGACGTTTAACGACATTATTTGGCATCTGAACGAAACTGAAAATGGCTCCGAAATGAAAACAAGTTAGCTCAAATCACGCAACACCGCTATGCTACACAGTAGAGAAGCTCTTTGGATGACACAAGAAGCGTCTCCACCTTGTACTTCCGTGTTCGCTTAAAGCATTGTCGTGTGTGTGTTTTTGAGTTAGCGTTAAGTTGTTTTTATTCCGTCAATCTGGGTAGCAACAGTGATGAGCCGATATACTACCTTATATTGTTAGTTCTATTTATTCGCTTCTTTTTAATTTAGTTAAATAGTTAGTTAAATCTGGGACTCCCCACCATTTGACCTTAGAACTGAAGAAGCTTCTCGGATGAGAGGTGAAACGTCTTCAAGCAACTTAAAGAAGCCCAGACGCTTTTCTTTGCAAGCTCCTCTGACTACGATGACCTGGATGACTGAGAACCTTCACAGACATTTAGTTAAATAGAAATGACTCGCACATTGTTCACTTTTGTCAACATTCAGCAAGTGGAACGGGTTATTTTTATTTTTATTATTTTAAACGGAACAGGCTACTGCTATTGCTTTAACATGAGTGCAGCACTGCCATCTAGTGAGTGGTTGTGGTTACACTAATAAAAGACCTGAGTTCAGGTATAAAAGTGTACAACAGTGGAGATTGGGGGCTCAGAAACGACTTTATTCAGTTCAGCGGTCTTTATTTATTTAAAAGATTTCAACTGACAAATAGTTCAGTTATTTGAAGGCAAACACAATGCAGAGAAAAGGTCAGGAAGATAATAGATGGATATGTGCAACAGCAGTTTAAAGCCTCATGTGGAGAGGAAAACAAATATATTTAATGGGTTTTTCCGATTATGGTACAGGCTCACACTGTGTTAGCGTTGTAATTACCACTGTTTTTCCAGCATGTAGACATCAATTATGGTGTGAAAAGTCATCAGACTCTGAGCACAAAACATTTATATTAAAGAAAAAAAATTACTGCCCAAAGATACCCACCACATCCCTCTCTCCTGCCTACTGCTGCTTTAGCTGACATGTTCCTCACCCAAAGTTAAGTCTTATTTAAAGATGACCGTGCAAACATGTCGGGTTTTTTTTACTTTCCAGTCTGTTCCCGGTGAAAATTTGTTGGTGAGTATTCTTTGTAGTGTCACATTTACTGTCTGATCAAAAGGAAGTCTGTCATTATCCAGTAAAAGCTTTTGTGAAAC